TTCTCCCCACCGTGATGACAATGGACTAAACCTCTGAAAGCCAGCCCCAGTTCAATGCTTTCCTTTGTGAGAGCTGCTGTGATTGGGGTGTCTCTTCACGGCATAGAACACTAAGACAGAAGGAGAGGAAGAAGATCTAAAAGAGAACGCCTCTAGTTCAGCAGAAGCCAAAGCCAATGGAAAAAGATTAGGAAGTGTTTCCACATGCTACTAAGTGTGCAACTCTGTGAGAGATTGCCAGGGAACAGGCCATAGCTTCTGTGGGCTTTCCTCTTCAATAGAAGAAAGGGATGGCTGAGTAGAGACTAGAAAGTATGGACTTCTCAGGGGGCTTTCAGAATGCTGTGGGTACTGTCGCTCAACTTGCCCATGTTTAAAGGTTTAGAAAATCTCTAGTGCATGTGTATATATTTGAGTGTGTGCGGCATGCTACGATGTGCATATGGAAAGCAGAGGACAGTTGTGATCACATCAGTCCCTGTCTTCTGTGTTGAGGTAGAGTCTCTCAATTGCCATTGCATTGGGCACTCTGGGATAGCTGACCTATGAGCTTCCTGAGGATGGGACACTCCCGTCTCTGCCTCTCATACCACTGAAGAAGTGCTAGGATTACAGATGCGTGGGACTGTAGTGGGTTTTACTTGGGTTCTGGGATTTGAACCCAGGCCATCAGAATTTCACAGCTACCACATTTACCCACAGAACAATCTCCCTGCCTCAGTCCTCTGGACTCTAGAAAGCATATTTGGGGTGGCTGATTCGTCAAGTAACTCTAAAGGAAAGGAATTGACCTCCCTAATTACCCTACCCTGGAGGGGCCCCCTCCCTGTAGACCCTTCAGAGGAAGGAAAGGTGCCTAAGGACTATGCCTTTAGAGTTGAGCAGCTGGGGACTGGGACCATGCACAGGATTTCTTTGGCAATGACCTAAGCGCTCCCTCAAGAACAGAGCCCTGTGAGTGAGAATAAGCCAGTCTTTGGCACATGCCACTTAGCCAGCCCTGGCTGCAGATGATATTACTAACCAATGAAACAATACATTGCTTCTCCAGCTTCCTGGTCCTATTCTTTAGCTCATCTTACATATTCCTGAGGTGAGTAATGGGATACAGCAGCCAGAGGAAGGACTAGGCTGGTCTAGCACTCACTGTACCAAAGGCTCCCGGGCCTGGGACAGGACTGGATGGAACAGGTAAGATAAAGCTTGGGTAATGTAGACGGAAATAGATTTTTCTAAAGTACTTAAAAATCAAACTTCAAACAGCTAGAAATGATGGGAGGAAACAAAACGTGGTTTCTTCCTGAGACAGCCTGGAACTGAAAAGGAACCCCTTGAACAAGCTAGTTAGATGTGTCTTAACGCCTTGCCAAAGGCAAAACCAGGGAGGCCCCTTGGCAACTTTGAGAGGACCGGGGCATTCTGGTCCTGTATGACTTCCTCCCTACCGCTGAGTGTTTTGGGTGGCTGGGAAGAATCTAGCCTGGCTTGTCAATCAGAGCTCGTTAGAAAACCAGAAAGTGCTGCTAGTCTTGCCCCACACATCTTTGAGGTGAAGCTTTCTAAAAGGAATTCTTTTCTAGAGATATTGACATTATATCCCAGTAAATACACAGATCTTATGAAAACAGCAGCATTCTATGTACACCACACTATTTTATATTCCATTTTTTATAACTTTATTTTTGATGGCATTGGGTCTTGCACATACTATGAAAGAACTCTACCACTGAGCCAGACCTCAGACTCCCAGTTTTTATTCTACTAATGGGCTTAGAATTGCGCCCTGAAAAGCATGTAGTATATCTCCCTACAATACTGAGGGAAGTGGATGGGTGGGTAGAGAGGCCCTCGGCGTCAGCAACAGTGCTGTTGAGAACTTTATTTTCAGCATCCCAAACGCTTCCCGAGGAGTCCGTCATTCCTTCTGTGCTTCCTCCTTCTACATCTGTATCCAGCTTTTCCAAAGAATCAGCAAACTAATTGTGTGTGCTGTGGGGTGGTATGAGTGAGTGTGTGTGCTTGTGTGGGCTGAGCCTGCCAGCTGATCATCGCTGAGGGTCCAGCTCCAGTCTGCTGGCTGCATGCTCAGAACACGGGAAGTTTCCACTGAGAGCCAGGGAAGGGTTGTGTGGCCGTGGAAAGGCAGCCAGGCAGGGGGATTCTCTTACTCAGGGGTGGGTCAGTTTGTGTTTCTAGTCAGGTTTTCAAATTGCTGCCAGGGGTCTCCTTACTTTAAGATATGTTTTACTTGTCTATCAATCCAACTGTTAACCTCATCCCAAGCATGGTTACACACATATTGAGGGTATTGTTTGACGAATTCTGGACCCCCTGGGTCCTATAAGTTAAAACTATCACGGTACCTCTGCCGCTCCAAATAAGGCCCCAGTCTTCCATTCTTTGAAAATCAATTTACTTTAGACTTTAGTAAGAGTGAAATAGAAGAGCCAAAGAAGAAGTACAAGTTCAGGAGCGATGCAAATGCTCGCCCAGTAGATACAAAGTAGATCTCTCCATGTCCGTTCAGTGTCAACAATTCATATCACACTCTCTCGTTCAGCTCAGTTTGAGAAAGCGCGAATAAAGTTATAGTAGTTAATCTTGCCTTCTCCGTGGGTACACATCCTGATTAACTGCAAGGGAACAAACAGGACAGGTGAGACAGAGCTCCCTTCAGCTTAACTGCCAAGCGCACTTACGCATAAGGAGCCCCGGGTTTTGCCAACCCAAACAGAGTTCAGCCTTTATATCCCCAGTTGACTCTGAAGTAATCCTGTGATCCTGGAAGGTAGGTCAGACATTAAGCCCCATATTATACATAGTGAAACCACAGCAGTAATATTCACGTTTATAAGGGCGTTGTTATTATCACACACTTTCCTTTTTTCTTTATCTTCTGAGGCAGTATCTCACTTTGTAGCCTCCATTGGCCTTGAACTCATGATCTTCCTACCTCTGCATCCCAAACGTTGGGGATACAAGCATGTACCAGCAGACCCAGCTTCAAAATACTTTTTTTGTTGTTGTTGTTGCTGTTTTTCAAGACAGGGTTTCTCTGTGTATGGTACCTGTCCTGGATCTCACTCTGTAGACCAGGTTGGCCTCAAACTCACAGAGATCTGCCCGGCTCTGCCTCCCAAGTGCCGAGATTAAAGGCATGAGCCACCAATGCCCAGCCAAAATACTTTTATTGCTATATTCAAATATAAATATTTTGCCCCCCTCCCAAGAACTAAACACCCCTAAACTGCAGGCTCCTACTGTTGCAGCTTAATAGGAGATCTAGTTATAGCCATGTTTTCAATGTCCACTGAACTCAACAGTGATGGTAACAGTGATTGGCTGCGGTTGTCTGTACAACATCTGCCTTGCCCAGCCTCTACATTCCACTTCCCAATGGCTGCATTTCCTTTCTCATGTCTGCTCCCATGTCACACAGTATGAATGACTTGAAAATAAAAACTGAATTAGCCATGCTGTCAATCAAAGACTTCTAGAGTAAATGGGTATTTAGCCCATGTGAACAAGTGCCCTTCTCTCATACTCCTTGTCAACATTCTGTCTTCAAAAAGACCAAACAAGACCCTCTGTCCTAGTTACTTAACCTAGTTACTTCAACAAAACCATTTCCTAAATGAACCTTAATTTCCAAACGTTCCCTCTTGCTTGAAAACCTTCAGGAAGGTCAATAAAGCCTCCGTGTTGTTACTCATTGTTGTTAATCAATGAGTAGGTCATGATATTAAGCTAGAGTCCTGGCCAGGGTGGGGTAAATTTTGTTCTGACTTCCAGCAAGGGTCCTGGCCATCAAGATTTGTAGTGAGTAAAAGAAATGCCATCCTTATTTAACAATCATAAAAGTTCTAGGAGGAACACTTCCATTCCTTCTCCCCATCTTCAGCGAAACTTGTTACCCTACAGACACTGCTGCCTTGGGCAGGGGTCGTATCAGCTTCCATGCTCATCCTGACAGGCTGACCTTGAAGTCTCCCAGAGCCCACAAACATCCTGTTCATTAACTTATCTTCGGGTCCCTCCTTGGCAGCTGGTGCCTCACGATCACCTACCCTCCATCACTAACACGCTGGACTAGCAACTTCTCTGCTATCTGTTCCCAGGCCCAGTTTAAGAGACACCCTGCAGCAACAATTTGAAAAGGAAGTTGATGCTGCGGTGTGGAAAATCCTGTCCTCAGGACAGAACGGGAGATCCGATTCTTGTAACCCCTTAGGAAGGAATGACCAGTGTTTAGTCTGTTTAGTCTGTGCAGTCAACCCAAACCACCCGTTCATACTGACCTCCTTAATCAAGGAGTCATCGACTGGGATATTAAGAGTGTCACAGACTTTAAAGAACACCTCTTTGTCCACAAATCCTGACTCCTCCTTGTCGTATATTTGAAATGTTTCACGGAGGTTATCTTTGCAGGAATGGTCTTTCAGGTGCATCTGGATTGTGTCTATCAGGGTATCCAGGTCCTGTGCCTTGGGTTCCTCCGTGGCTTGCATGCTGTAAAGAGAAGGACATGATCCGATATAAATATATTCATTCTTGACCAATCTTACCTCAGTAAGCAAAGCTCTTATTTTGTGAAATCTGGGAAGCATCAATAATAATAATAATAATAATAATAATAATAATAATAATAATAAGCCAACCATTTTTGACACACAGCTAACCTCCTCATCAGAAGGCCTCATGTGGGACAGTGTTTGAACTATGTCCCTTCTTGCCATCAGTTAAATCACTCCACCCCAAAGAGCCAGGTCTCATATACTGCCTTTCCCAGTTTGCTATTTGTGGGAATCACGCTGGCCTCTACTGTTGCAGACTAACGTTACCTCATCCAGACCCAAGTGCCTGAGTGCCTAGAAGTTATGCACGTCACTGTGCAGACAGGAATCTCTCAGGGTTTTAACATTCCCCCTTCCGTTCTCAGTGAGTTTTGTGAAAGGCCATCTGTGGGCGTTTGGAGACCGCTCTTGGGGCTGGGCAGCAGTGCAGGCCTTGTGTTACTGAAACCACAGAGAGATTGGTAGCAGAGCACTGGGAAGAGGGATGGCTATTCCTTCCCAACAGGACAGAGTAAAGAGAAGCTCAATGTGTACTTCCTCTGAGAACAAAGCTAGTTATAAAACTAAAGAACGTTAGCTCCAACAAAGACTCCCTCATCTTCCTAAATCCTTTCAGAACAAAATACCCTCCTAAGTGCTTACACTTAC